AGGTCTATGGGGAGGTCCCAGTAACAACCAGGAGTCTGCAGAGCATCCACTGGAGATACACCAGCTGAGGAGGGCTATCTTTGCCCCAGGTCACTGTCCCCTTCCCAGCACCATCCTGTCCCAACATCGTCATCCTCCTTTCCCTGGATCCACCAGTGCCCTGACCCCCTCTGGGTCAAAGCGCTCCTGCTGATGGCAAGCCAAGGCCCTGGGGATGCGAAGGGCTGTGACATTTGGGAACAGACACAGCTCGTGTCACCCAAACCTCATCCAGCACCACTCGCTCCCAGGCACAACACTCACCACTGCAGGGGTGCAGCACTTGCATGCTCAAAGGTCTTCCCAGCGTCACAGGAAACAGGGCTGGAAGGAAACACAGACATCACCTAACCTCTGCCTTCCCAAAGCAAAGCTGGCTGCAATTACAAGGTGAGTTTGGTGAGACCTAACAGCATCATCACCTTAGTGGAAGCCTCAATTTGAAACCTGTTTGAAGCTGCAAGGGACATGGCAGCTACTTCAGAACACACAGCACGCTCGAGGAAGACAAGAACCGAAGGAAAAACACATCTATTTTAGCCTGAAACCACAAGAAAAACAGAGATAGTCAAAAGAATGAGCAAACTGATGAGGAAACATGAGTTAGCCGTGCAGCTCCATGGAAAATACCACGGGCCTGTCAGGAACTGCACAGGGTCAGGATCTGGGGTTTGCATCTTGTCTGTAAGACAAAACTTGTAGTGAGATTTTTTTAAAAGGATCTTATGTTTGGTGATGTTTGATACCAAAATAAACTCTCAGAGGATCATCATGTTTGATACGTGAGGATTTCTGACACTCTTTTCCAAGTAACAACGGAAAGACTCATCTGGCTGAAGTTTCCAGGCTTTGTTTTATGGAAGTCTTACTCTCTGGTTATCTGAATGTTTAACTTAGGGGGACAATTATGAATTGCTCTTGTCTGGACTGCAGCAAAATACCCCCCTCCCCCAGGATTACTGTTTGATGATGTCTATTAAGAACAGCATTGTCTTTTCACAACAGCTGGTACAGGCTGGGCTGTACTAATGAGGAGCCCCTCAGTCTGAATGAGGAGATCTCACTACACTTTTGGCTAAGACAGCCTTTTCTTGTCCCTTTGCTCCCGTGTAATCACTCAGCTCCTTCCTCTTGGCGATGTCAAACTCTGAGACCAGAACCGAGCCCCATTTATCAGTGCTTCTTTCTAACAAAACCTAATTCAAAATGCCTGGGAAATGGTGAAGGATCAAGCACCATGCACTGCTCCCCATCCCAAAGACCCTTTCTCCTTTGGAGAGGGCTCACTGCAGTGGCTGGAGCTCGGCAGGGTCAGCTGGTCCCAGATGGAGCCGAGGTTTCCTGATGTAGTTGCCCGACCATCACAATCTGGATGGCAGCCCTGAATTCTTTTCTCGCAAGTCACTTGGCCAGGCACCAGATGGTAAATACTTTCAGGCTTTCCTAGCCCGGGTCTAGGGTGGAAGCAGTGACCTCAAGGTAGAAGACTGCCTGGCCCATCCCTTGTCCCTTGGGGTGGTCAGTCCTCCCAGCCCAGCTCCACTCTCCAGTTAAGGTGTGAGAACCAGAGGGAATAAAACCATCCAGACAGGGATGGAAACGGCCATCATCACCTCTCTCGGCTCTTGCTGTTTGAAACTGGAGCTGGATACATTCTGGGTAGGAAACAACTTTCTCATCCTGCCAAAAACAAAGGTATTTCAAAGTTTCCCAAAGCCGGGGTGTTTCCAGAAGTCTCAGGAACAACAGCCAGCAACCACCCAAAGTGTCCGACGGCCGAGGGAGACCTGAAACGTCTCCTTTTCAGCTCAGGGCTCTTGGCTTTTCCAAGCTGGGTGTCTGTCCAGCTTTCCCACCAGTGCTGCTCACCCTCCATAGGCAGCTCTGCTCCCCTGCAGCAGGGATTTGAGCCAGGAGTGCTCAGAAGCAAAGGGAACATCCTTCCCACTGAGGTACGGAGCTGGGATCACCCTCGACCCATGATTTCACTGTGGATATGAAGATAAACAGCAAGGACCCAGGACAGCCTAGGTGCTCCCTAACAGAGACGGATGTCCAGATCTAGGTCTGCCTTCAGCCAGCTCTCGCGAGGGTGTTCAACACACAGTGTAAAGAAGGAGAGCATCCTGAGCAAAGGAAAGGGATCAAGGGAGAATATAGTCTATATCCATCACAGATGGATGCAATTTCAGCTGAGCAGGGTGCTCAGATGAGGGCTTTGCAGTGTTATTCATGATGGCATGTTAAATGGCACAGACATGAAAAAACCCAGCTGTCTAAAATGTAAATTCACTGGGTCAGTTCCTTCATTTCTATAGAAACAGCAGAGCTCGCCAGCGGCTAACTCAAAGGAGATGTATTCAGATCCCTGTATCAACTATTTTCTTGCACAACTCACCACAAAAAAACAAATATTACAACCCCTAAAAAAAACTGAGGATAATACCATGGAAACTGCGGAGCACAACATATGGACTTAATTACTAGCTATGAAATCACACGTATGGTGCAGAACACATATGGGCTACATGCTCCAGAGGAGAAGGGTTATAACTGACTATCTATAAAATGAACTGCTAACGTGCTGCTCTAATGCAGCTTTGCAAATCAAAACCTGTGCAAGGGCTGTATTGCTCTGCCAGGCCTTGCCTGCAGCCCCAGAACAGCGACTTGGGCATGCATCTGAGACATGGAGAGCCAGGAAAAGGGAATTCAAGCCCATATCACCCACAGAAAAGCCTCCTGGGGAAGGCAGAGTCAGGCAGACTTTGTGGGTATCCCTCCAGCCAGGTCCTATGGGCATCCCCAAAACCCAGCGAGGTACCACTGGGGACTGCCAATGGCAGCTGAAGTATGGGAGGTGGCTAGGTATGGGATGGTGGGTTTGGCCCCTGTCTGGCTGCTTGACTTGGTGCTGCAGCTGACTGCTGGCTTCCTGGTGATGTCATACCATCACAGTGATGTCAACTTACCGCAGCAAGATCTCAGTGACATCAGGTGGTGGTAGTGGTGGTAAATTAATGTCCCCTCTTATCCCAAGCTGAGGGAGGGGATTAATAAGGGGTTCCTCCCCCAAAGAGCCAAACCTGTACCCCAGAGAGGGCAGGCAGGGGGTTAATGGCCAGTGGGCTTCCCTGGGTAGCCCTGAGCCCCAGCCCCCCTGGGGTGTCCCACTGACCCCCAAAGCCTCACACGTGGAGCTGTTGGCTGCTCCCAGAGCTGCTCACTGTGGGCAACAAGAGGGTTTTATTTCCCTTACCAGCACTTGTCACCTGATTTCTAACTGGGGAAGGAAGTCATTCCCGTTCATCAGGAGTCCCTAACAAACACAAGCCTGGTATAATTAATTGAGCTCCCTGTGCCCCTGTGGCAAGGCTGCATCAGTGCTTGTGCTGATAGAGGCACTGCAGCTGCCTCCAGGGTGTCTGGCTCAGCTGCAGCGTCTGAAACGTGGTAGCCAGAGGGAGGGCACCAGCTCCTGGAGCGCAGGAGAAAGCAACACCACAGGATGTGGCTCCAGCCTTTGGTATGGAACCTTCTGGCTTGTTGCGTGCTCCTCACACCTCCCCTGCAGCACACAGGGATGCCAGGGCAGATCCCTGGACCTCCAGGCATGGCTTGGGTGATGCAGGGAACTGGAGCTCCAACACGAGGAGCCGCGCACGGATAAGTGACAGCCGCCTTTGGAAGGTGGCCTGGTATTTCCACAAGCTGCCATGACCTCCTTAACAGACCAGTGGCAGCTAACGAAGCAAAACCAAAGCAGAGCGTCTGGGTGGTAACAGGAGAGCTCTGGCTGTGCGCTCCTCCGTGCCGGGCTCTGCCCTGCCCTGGCTTCCAGGCTATAGCAAGAGTCAGAGCTGAGGACAGGAGAGGAGCCAGGAGAGCTGCAGGGCATCCTGCATCCCTGTGTGAGCTCAGGCCTTTCCTTTGGGCTCTGGACTCACAAATTCCCCTTACACGTTGTGATAAGATCAGAGGGGTGAAAACATGGAGAAGGGCTCAGTTCCCCGAAGGCCTTGGGATGTTTTCCTCTCCTAAGAGCCAGCCTTGCATCCCCAAGACACAGTGGCCAAAGGGAAAGCTCATACAGGGCAGACTGACAAGGGGTAAAGCATTGGGAGGCAACTGCTGAGCACCCACTTCTCTTCCTCAAGCTCGGATTTTAAATTCTCATGTTGCTTCAGACATGATTTTCAGGAGCTGAATTTGGGGTTGCAAGGGTTAAAGTCACCAGGGCCAGACTGCAGCCCCCTGCACCATGTAAACAGGGTACACCGTGAAACCTAACAGCCTTCTGCCCCTGCAGGCTCCCCGGGCAGCCACAGCCCCACACAGGACAGGGATGCTGTGGCAGCAGCACCACCACAGCAAATCCCTGTCCAGCTTTGGCTGTGGCAGAGAAACAGAGAGGGAAGCAAATCTCTACTGCCTGGAGAGCTTGCCTGGAAAACTGCTGCAGCCTGCTCCGGTCATACACTGTCCTCAGTGATGGAGGGACAGGATCCTGCCCTTGACTTCAGGGCCAGCTCAGCCCTCTCCCACAGCCTGCCATGCATTAGGCTCAGCACAAAATACAGGGTGGGTGCTCTGTTCCAGCTTGGGAATGATCCATGGGACAGCCCTGCCAAACCCTTCAAGCCCAGAAGGGAGACCCCAGCTCTGCCTGTGCAGACCCTGCTCAGTAGAAGGATGCGTGGAGTTTCCCTCCTGGTTGCAAGGAACAGCAAGGAGCTGGTTCACCCCCCAGCCCTCTCCCATGTTCCCTGGGGAGAGTATCCCATCCCTTCCCTCCCTGCCTGGGTGGACAGCACGTTCTCACCTTGAGGGGAGTGGAAATGGCAGCTGGAATGTGGGCTGGAAAAAAAAAAAAGAGAGAAAAAAAAAAGAAGAGAATCTTGAGGCTTGTCCAAACCTACTGATGTTTATACTGGAGCCTGTGAGTGACATCAGAGCAGGGAGAGTATAAACACCAGCAGGACCTACTCGGGGCTTTAAAACCTGCGAACACGCCGCTGCCTCCAAACTGCCTGGGGGGTGATGTGCTGCAGTGGCAGAGGGGAGAGCAGCATGAGGCTCCAGCTGGAGAAGCAGCTCCTCTTCCTCTCCCTCCTCTGCATCCTCTCCAAGGTAAGGGAGACGGGGCCCTGGGGCCGCTTTAGCCTTACTCGGGGAGGAGCCGGTTCTTGCGAAGTGAGATGCAGGGAGTACTGGGGCGTTGCAAGGAGCCCGGTGCCTAACGCTGGCTGCAGGCAGGCTGTATTGATGCAGTCCCACTGGGACAGAGCTATGCTTGGGAGAGACATTTGCGATGAAGCAGCAGGGTCTCAACATTCATGGGCCAAAGGCGTCTGTTGGGCAAGGCCAGGGAGCACACAGGAATGACAGCAATGCGCTGTTTGCTCGCCTGGCCCCGCAGCTCTGGGGCTGTGGTATGTGTCCCTGTGAGCGAGCCCCAGCTCCGCAGCAGCAGCTCCTGAAGATTCCTTCGTCTCCCAGGGCAGGAGGCCAAGCCCCAGGCACCGGCCTCAGCATTACACATCTCTCCCCCTGCCCGGGATGCTCATGCAAAGCCAATGCCTCTGACAGGATTTGAGTTATTGCAGTGATTCCTTTTTTCCCTTGGATTCTGTGTGAACACAGCTGCCTGTGCAGAGAACAGGAATGTTGAAAAGTGTGGGGTATCTCAGCTCCAAGTTGTAATTGCTGCTTGAATCCCAAAGCAGACCTTCTGCAAGCAGGGACATCGTGGCAGCATCGTGCCTGTTTGATTCCTTTCCCAGGCATTTAAGATCTCTGATAGGAACCACATTGTCATCTAAAGACAAGTTAATTACAAGGAGCAAGGGGAAATGGATTAATGGCTTGGCTAAGCTTTCTAAAACATTGATTTGTAATAGCAGCCTCCTGAAAGATGAAAAATGCCCTTGGCTGCCTGGGTAAACTGTGAGGGAGGAATGAGTCCTGCCCCAGGCACTCCTGAGTGCCTGTAGAATCACCAAAGGCCCTCATTCTCCAGCCCAAACCTGGCCACCGCAGCCAGTGCTTCAAGCCACAAGTCGCTCTCTGGTTTCTGCTACACTAATAATGCTGCTCATTGAGAGAACCAGAACAAGACCCAGATTGCTCAGCCCATTCTATATATATTTAATCTCCAGCTGCTGGCATTGACATTTGTACAGCCCCATACAAAACCATCTGAACTGCTGCAAATGGGGAACAGAGAGCACACCAGTGCCTACCTTCTCTAACTGGTTGTGGCAGACCTGATGCTACTGGGAGAAACTAAAAGAGAAAGAAAAATGGTATCTAAAGCAACATGGTCCAGCGGAACCCATCCATCTCTTGGAGGTCTCAGTGCACACAACAGTACCTGGCCCAGCAAAGGGATGAATGCTTTGGTTGCACATTGGCTGAGCATGTGCTGGCCATGCAGTGGAGCAGCAGGGCTGCTGGAGGGTGGATCAGAACTGCAGCATGCAGCTCACAGCTGGCAAAGAAGCCACATCCAAACTGCAGAGCCAACTCACTTGGCTTCAGGCTCTGTATGCAACAGCCCTGTCAGATGCGACATGACAGGAGCATAAGTGCTGCCTGCAAAAGCTGTTGGTGCCAGGGTAATTGTTCAGGCCATGGATATAAACACCTACCTGCCTGGGGGATCTCCTGCAGGAACATCCCTGGCAAACAGTCACTGAGCAGGCAAACGGCTGCCGTGCACATCCCTGCCAAAGGGATTACTCGGTCTAGCTAGGAGGGGAAATGTAATTCCTTGTGCCTATCGCAGGGCTCGTTTCCCAGCAGGCCAGGCCAGGCAGAGGATGCTGCAGGCAGGGACAGGCAGAGGAGGCAGCTGGAGCAGGAAGGAAAGCAGCGAGGTTCCCCCACTGCCAATGCAATGCCCTGTTCCTTGGCATGCATGAGGGCTGTTAAGACTGTCCAGAGTTAGGTGCCATGCGCGTTCGGCCCCTGCAAAGCCACATCTCCAGCTGGGTACAACCTGCTGCCTCAGAGCCAGGATGCCTTCCCCACCTTCCTCCCTCAGTCCTGCTGGTCTGCTTGGGGCTGCCAGCCCTGCTAAATATGTTAAATAACCACCACTACCTGTGATGTCGGCTTTGTAACTCCATCTCCTTTTCTGTACTCAGAGCAGCGGTGCGTTTCAGTCCCCATCCTGCAGAGCGCTGAGCATCCCTGATTCTCCCTGGTTTTCCTTAGGGTACATTGTGCCCTAAGGGACCAGCAGCTCTCAAGGCTGCTTTGCTGTATTCCCACGGATGTGCAGATTCTCCCTCCACCAAAAGTCTGCCCCCATGAGTGAGAGGTTGTGTGTCTGTGCCAGTGAAACGGCCAAACCCAGCCTGTACGGAACCAGCGACGGCTTTGCCTCTCTCTGCAGGTGTGTGCCCAGCTGTGCCGGAGACCTTGCTACTGCCCCTGGGTGCCCCCCCGCTGCCCCCGCGGGTCCCCCCTGGTCCTGGATGGCTGCGGCTGCTGCAAGATCTGCGCCCGGCGCCTGGGAGAGCCCTGCGACTTCCTGCACGTCTGCGACCAGAGCCAGGGCCTCGTGTGTGACTACAGCGCAGCACCCATGGGGAGAGCCACCTGCAACTGTGAGCACAGGGGTGGCCGCTGCCCCCCGGGGATCCCTGCACCCCCAGTTCCAGCCATGGCCCCACACATCCCGCAGCTTTCAGGGAAGCAGCTCTGGCGAGGATGATTCATGCAGCGCGGCCGCAGGGCTGTGCTGCAGCTCCAGCTCTGGTGCTGTTTGCTGACTGGGGATGCAGGGTGTTTGAGCGGGGATGGGTATGGGGGTCCGGGGTTGCTGCAGGGTATGGAGCCTGGGGGTCCTGCAGAGAAGCCGGAGGGAAACGTTTCCGAGCCTGAAAGCCCTGAAAGGCAGGGTCAGAGCCAAAGGGCAGTGGGTTTCTTAACAACTGGTGAGCTTTTTGCTTGAAAAAAGAGATGAGGAGAGGAGGTAGGGAAGGGGAGGAGGCTGGGCGATGCAGATGCTCATGCAAACCCATCTCTGCCCCACATAACCCCCTAGTCACTTCTGTGACCCCCCCCACACTTCAATCCCCACAGCTCCCTTCAGCAGTCCCCTCTGCCACCCACATTTCTGCCTCTTTGTCCCTAACGGGCTCCCTGGGTGTCACTTGCAGTTGAAGACATCGAAGAGGGCTGCGAGGTGAACGGCCGGGTCTATCGGGATGGGGAGGTTTTCCAGCCCAGCTGCAAGCTCCAGTGCCGCTGCCTGGATGGGGGCTTCACCTGCATCCCGCTGTGCCAGGAGGATGTCCGCCTGCCCACCCCGGACTGCCCCTACCCGCGGCGCGTGGAGGTGCCAGGGAAGTGCTGCCCTGAGTGGATCTGTGAAGCCCGGGACCAGCACCATCCCCTCCAGGATGCTGGGGCAGGTAAGATGCAGGATGTGCCAGTGAAGGGATGAACACACAGGTTTCTGGGGTTGGCCCCTTCACCACAGGCTGTGAACATCGACAGGAGACACCTCTCTGCACATTTGCCTGCCATGCAGAGCATGCTGCACAGCGACTGCCCCCAACCACCCTTTTCTCCCTCATCTCTTTCCATGCAGCCCCAAGGGCAGTGTCCCCGCTGCTGCCGTACCCATGCCAGGAGTGGGGCACGGAGTGGAGCGCCTGCTCAGCCACCTGCGGCATGGGCTTTTCTACCCGCGTCTCCAACCAGAACCGCTACTGCAGGCTGGAGACTCAGAGGCGGCTCTGCATGGCCAGACCCTGCCCGGCTCTGCCGGCAGCATCCCCAGTGGTAAGTGAGGGCCTTGGTGAAGCTGGTGCCCTGAGAAAGGGAAATGCCAGGCAACACGAGGCATCGGACCCCCAGCTACCTGCGGGCACCTCATCACCCCTCCTCAGCCGTGACCCAACCAGACCTCAGGGGCAGATAAACCATCTCCTGAACCTTGGCTTAGAAAACAACAGCTGGCAGGGGCAGACCTGAATTCTGAGGTCTCTGGATGTCTGAATCCAAAAGCACTGTGGATCCCACAGAACCCTGAGCCACACCGGTGAGCTCAACCTCCCCCTATGGCCAGATATGCATTTGTAGCCCCTGCCTGGCTCCCTGGGTACACCTGAGAGGTGGCTCTGCCACCCCTTTAACTAGCCAGGCACAGCCCCAGTGCAGACAAGGCGCAAACCTGCCTTGCTTCCATGCAGCCAGTGCTTTCTGTAGCCAGGCACCTGCACTGCCACATGCCCCTGCTCCCTAGACATGGGAGACACACCACCACGCTGCTCCATCTCCCTATCTCTCTCTGCTCTGCCTTTGCAGCGAGGAAACAGAGGTTATTTGTAGCTGTTCCCACCCTAGTTGCATCCCAGAGCCAACATCTCATCCCGGCAAAGAGTCTGGCACAAGCCCATGGCACTGTGGTTTTGGTGAAGATGGAGAATATGTCCCTTGGGAAACTGGGAATGAACTGATGGCTGCAAAGGAGGGTGGAATAGAGAACAAGATCCCCATGTCACCCAGCACCTACCCCCTCTGCACACCCTGCTGCCCCAGGCAGGGTTATTGGGCAGCATCCACAAGTTTCTTTGGCTGAATGAAATGGAAAATGGAGAAACCCTGCAGTGAGTGTGAACCCACCCGAGGAACCAGGAATTGGTCCGTTCCCACACTGGTGGTGCTTTTGGAGAAGTGATGCTACTGCTCCACCATGTCACACACACACAGCTATGCTCTGCAGGGGATGCAAGAGAGACCATCTCCAATACCTGGAAGCCCAAATCCCCAGGGGAACCCTCATGGGACCAATCCCCAAGGACGGAGCAGGTACATGGAGCCGCACACCACGACTCACCACCATGCGAGGCTGAGCAGCTCAACCATGCATGAACTAAACCATCCCACAACATCCACCCTGCACCCAGCAGCAGCCTTCCCGAGCATGGGCAGAAGCACCCTCCTGCCTGCAGCTCTAATTCACCTCCATTCTAATTCACCACATCTCTCCAGAATCAACATGGACCTTCCTGCTCTGTCCGGCCTCCTCCTCCCCAAAGCACTGTTGGTTTGGCAGGGCTTTGGCGAGTGAGGAGCTCAGACACAGGAGATGCAGCAGCAGAAGTAGCTCCTGCCATCCAAGCACATCCCTGCGAGCCACAGCCAAGGGAAAAGCAGGAAACAGAGAAAGCAACTCATAAAGATGAGTCGGGGCCATCTCCTGAGAGGCTGGAGCTGCTCCAGCTATGGAAGAGTCGGTGCAGGAGCACTGCCTTCACTTTCACAGTGATAATCCCTCTGGGTGACTGAAAAATGAAACCCAAATGCCCTCTAACGGCCTCGCACAAGCACGTGGAGGGAATGTTTGTCCCCCTGGCAGGGCAAGAAGGACAACTGGAAAGGACCCACGGTTTAGGTGATGTGTCCAGGTGAGATACGGACAGTTCATACGTGTGGAACTGAAAATAAAGATGTGCTCATCCAGATGTGGAGCTTGTTTGGGGCTTTCCATGGGGGTGAGACCAGCTCCAGTGAGCCCTCAGGAGCACCACTGCTCATGGCCAGCTCAGCTGCTGCAGGACAGGTCTGAGACAGGATGGGGCACAGCTCGGAGGCACCTCAATTCAGGCTGCTTAAAATAAGAAAACACACACAAAAAAATGTGAATCAAAACACTGAAAACATTATTGTAGGCTATTATAACTTGGAGTAAATTCTGCCCCTTTGCTTTTACCCAGCTCTACCAACAGGACCAACCCATAGCACATCGGTGCTGGGATGCACAGGAGAGCATGGCATGGTGCTGGTTGCATTACACACAGACCAGGCCATGCGTCTTCTCAGCCTCCCTAAACCCAAAGCCCAAATTCCCTATGACTCATCCCTCCTCCCACCAGCCCCACACCTCCTGCACTCACCTTGGACCAGGATTTCCCTGGGATCATGCCGCCACCATCACCATCCCAACCCAAGCCAACACCATCCCAGGGCAGGTTTGGGGGTGCAGGGGCAAAAGGCTGAATGGCAGTGGGAGCTCCCCTCTTCTGCCAGGGGAAAGCTTCCCCATAAGCAGCAGGAAAGGCATCAAGGCCAAGGCAGCCACTCTCGTGCTCCCCCAGCCCCTGCAAGTGCTGAAAATGAAATGAAAGTCAAGGATGCTTTTCAGTCACCTCTTGGGAATGGGGTGGGGGAAGAAAAAATACCCCACTGCTCATGCAGTAAAACACACGAGCTTGCTTACAAAGAGAATTATTTACTGTGATATCTGGTGCTCTGCCCGAACACAGATGATTAACTCAGTTTAATACAGGAGATATGTATTTGGCAGGCAACAAATCACAGGATGAAAGTGGCCTGGTCTGCAGCTTCTGTTAACTTCTCACCTCTGCAATGGCTGTGCCAAAAGAGCAGTGACACAGGGGGCAGGTAGACTTTAACACCACAGTGTTCCTGGGCTGACACGAATAAGATGCATTCTGTGCACTGAAGAACATGGGTTTAAGCCAGCTCCTGTTTAAACATGGGACAGGCTGCTGGCAGGGAATGCTGCCAGGGCTCACACCCCCTCCCAAACCCTGCCCAGCCACCTCTGGGTGATGGTAAAAACCAAAAGGTTGTTTTTGAAGCAGCAACCTGTAATTCTCATCTCAAACTGAAATGACTCAACACACCTCTGCTATAATTTCCTTTTTTCTTTTATCCAAAACGTCATTTCTCCCTGATTCACTAAGCAGAAAACATCTAAATAATGAATTAATGAATCCAAATAAATCAGAGTTCTTTTTTTCCCTAAGAATGCAGGAAAATCAGCTCTTGCAATTTGATTGCCAGTCTCACAATATTTGCTGTTCTCTCTAAAGCTCTGCTACCCTGGAAACATGTAGTTATTGCAGCCTCTGACGCAGCGGAACCTGGGCTTTGCCTGCTCTTGTGGGGCAGCAGATAAATACTCTGCCATCCCCAGGTGATCATGGTCACCTTAAAGAGAAAAAAAAACCCAAACCAGAAGAGAACTCACCCGTGTCCTCGAGGCAAGCTGCCAAATCTGCACACACAAACAGCATGTAATTTGACAACCATATTCCTGAACCACCAGTGAGCAACACATCACAGCTCATTTCAGTGCAAGAAGGCACAGCAGCTGAAGGAGAAACTGTGCAGTGCTGCATGAGTAAACAATGGGCATCAGTATGGGTTTTTCCAAGCCATTCTCCTGACTGATGATTTTTAAATGCCTGGAGTTGGCTGAGAAGGGCTGGATGAGCCCCTGGATAAAGCTAAACATTTGCAGATACCTCCCTGAGCACAGTGCAGTGCTCACAAAAAAAAAGGTAGATTAAGGCCCTTTGTTCTGCTGTTGGTGAAGAGTCGTGAATTGGTTGCCTATTGCTCAGGTTACCTGCAGGAGCCATCCCAGCCCTGTGCTCTCTTTCACACTGCAGCATGCAAGGAGCTGGCACCCGAGAGGAGCATCCTGATACAGATAAGGGTGATAGCACCTCTACTGTGAGTGAAATCATGGGGCAAGCAAACAGCTTAAACGCATAAGGCAGGCAGGAGAGGGGAACCATGCTGTTGCATGCGTGCCTCCAACAGCTCCAGCGAGAAACTGACATGTGGAGAAAGGGCTTTACAACCATCAGCCAATAAAGGCTGTAAAGCAGGTATGTTTAATCAGCGCTGGGCAGCACTGGGGTATCCCACCAAGGTAGTGCGTGCCATAGCCTCCCATCCTCCAAACGTATATAGCATTGTGGTTACATATTCATGAGATCACCTATACATATTAATGACCGGTCCCCACTTCGTATGATAATTAACGTTTCCATAAACTCCTCCCACTGTGCTTGCGCAGTGCTTTTTGGTGGTGGTCGTAGAGGGTCGTCGGGATGAAGGCCAAGGGCTCCTCTTTGTCACCGCAAGTAACCTTCTGGCCTCAGGCAGGCTCAGCTGCTCTTGGATGGTGCCCAGACCACAAAGCTGGTTTCCAGCTGTTCTCTTGCTCTGCTCTGCTCAGTCTCCCCTCGGATTGGCTGATCTTATCTCAAGAGTTACAGATGTACCTAACTCTTCATGAGCATTAGGTCCCGTGCTTTGTTAACCCTTAGGTTGCACTAACAATGCGATTAAGGTATATTATCGCTAATTACATTAACTATGCAAACTAATCGCCCAACCAGCAACAAGGTTTAAATCTTGAGATTCCCCTATCTCAAAATGAGGGGTGGCTCATGGGGTGCAGGCTTCCAGCCCTGGTCTGGCGGAATGGGGGGTGGGTTCTGCTCACGCTGAGCGGGACAGATCAGAAGCAGGCTGAAAGCTCTGCTGCCCGCAGCACACAGCTCCCACCCGCTGCGAGGCAAAGCCGCTCTGCCCCTTCCCTGCTCCCTTCCTCCCGCTGCCTCCGGGCGCTGCAGCCCGAGCAGCCGCAGCCCTGCGGTCCCTGGCTCTCAACACCTCCCGTGGAGCTGCGGCCGGGGCCGAGGGCGCTGCAGGAGCTCTGGGCTGGGGCGGCTCTCACCACATCGGCCCCGTGCGCCACGGAGCGGGGCCGGAAGGAGCGGGGCAGCCCCAGCCCGCACCCGGGCACGCCGGGGCCGCTCCGCTCAGGGCGACGGGCTCCGCTTGGCCCCGGCACCTCGACCCGGCAGCGGCCACCCCGCCGCAGCGCCCGACGGCCATGGAGGCTCCCCCCCGGTGGCCCGGCAATGGCACCCTGTGCTCCGTGGACACCGGCTTCGCCCAGCGCTTCCTGCCCACCGCCTACCTGGTGGTGATTGCCCTGGGGCTGGTGGGGAACGGGCTGGGGCTGGGGCACCTCTGCACCAGGGCCCGGCGCGGCGCCCGACAGCCCCTCGACTTGTTGGTTGGCAACCTGGGCTTGGCTGACCTGCTGTACGTGAGCACGCTGCCCTTCCTCGTCAGCTACTACCTGCGGGGCAGAGTGTGGCTCTTTGGGCAGGGCTGGTGCCGGATCACCCGCAGCCTTTTCCACCTCAACCTCTACGCCAGCATCGGCTTCCTCACCTGCATCAGCATCCACCGCTACCTGGGCATCGTGCATCCGCTGAAGGCGCGGGGCTGGTGCTATGGGACAACCCTTTCAGCGTGGCTCAGCGCGATGGTCTGGGTGTGGGTCATCGCACAGGTAGCTCCAGATTTTGCCTTCAGCAAGATGGATGACACGGGGACACGGTGCCACGACACAACGGAACACGAGCACCTGGGTGTTTATTTGCCGTACACCGTGACCATCACCGTGACTGGGTTCGTCATGCCGTTCCTTATCATCATCGGATGCTACTGCCACGTGGTGGTGGTGCTCTGCAGGAATGACACTGTGGACCTCAGCCTCAGGAGAAGAAGCATCAGTCTGGCGATTCTTGTGATGATCCTCTTCTCCATCTGCTTCCTCCCCTACCACATCTTCAGAAACCTCAACTTGTTGTCTCGAGGCTGGCAGCTGCAAGGGTCCTGCACACAGGCTGTAAAGAATATCTACCTTTCTTACCAGGTGACACGGGGCCTGGCCAGCTTCAACAGTGCCCTCAACCCCCTGCTCTACGTGATGACCAGTGAAGCCTGCATGTCACGTATGAGGACCCTCTGCCAAACAAGGAAAACCTCTAGCCAGGAAGATGAGAAGAATATGAGCATCATTCTTTGTAAGGAGGAGGCTGCTGCTGAGCTCTGAGGTACCCAACACCCCTTCCATAGGATGCACCACTTCTGTTTGCACTTGGGCCCTTCTTGGGAGTCACCTCCTCACCCTGATCCCTGCTTTGCAGAGAGTTGGTAACTGTGTGTGACTCCAGTTTCACACAAGGGGTAGACAGGGATGCTGGCATCAGAGAGGAAACTGAGGCCAGGTTTTAGAGCAAAGCTACTCAACCCAACCATTTAGCCTAACAGTGTGCTCAGAGATGGCAAGAAATGAATATTGTGTTTGCTCCAGACTTGAAACATTTCTCAGCGCAGCCTCTAATGCAGTGGTCCGAGCTGGTCAACATCTCCCTGGTTGTGCAGCCACCCGCTGAGCTCTCAGTGAGTGAGATGGGGGTGAATGTGCCTTGTCCCCAAACTGCATCCCCTTTCCCCACTGGACATGGGTTTGAGACAGGATTCCCTCCTTCACCTAAGGAGAAGGCACCAGTAATTAATAACCTGGGTTGGACAACAGCCGAGAGATGATGGGGGGGGGGGGGGGGGGAATATGCTTTGGAGGTGGAAATAGTCATTACAATATCAAGTTTTAAATAGATGACTAAGCTCTGCCAGTTTCTGAGTTAGCTGTTCCTGGGTGACTGAGCTGCTTCTGTATCTGTGTGATCCTCTACTGCCCACCTCCTTTGCAGGAGAAAAAAAAAAGAGCTTTAGCATTACTCACTCTCTTTTGGAAGAGCACCCAGCAGACAACAGCAAATTGGCATTTTGAAGCTTCTGGAGGCTGTTGGTTGGGTTGGGGTTTATTTTTTGCAAGGCAAATGACTGCAGTAGCCTGAACCGCTGCTTTCAATGGGCAAAATCCCAGGAGAGTTTGGAATCTTCAGGCGGGTGCTTGCATCTGACTCCTGCATCCAGCCTTGCAACGGGGTTAGACATGTCTGTTAAAAGTTAGACATGCAAAGGAAAGAGAAGCAACACAGGTTTGAAGACTTGTGAAGGGAGGATTCAATGGTGAGAGCAATCCATCTATTGCCATGGGATCTCTGCTTCAGGAGGAGCCGAGGCTGCTGAGCAGCAGTTTAATTTTTGCTGTTGATGTTGATGAACACCTTGGATGCTTTGGTCCTTGTGAAGGGAGCAGTGCAATTTGCAGCAGCAGACCTTGCAGCTTGGCTGAAGGAAGTAGATTGAGAGTCTAAATCATCCTCTTCTGGGAAAGGGCCAACCCACAGACACTGTGCTCTTTGAACCCAAACCCGATATTTATCACAGTCAGCTGCTCTTCGCACGCACCCACCCTCGCTGCTGCACAGAGGGAGCCGCAGCTCACTTTCAGATGCAGTTAATATGTCTAAAGTGCAAATAAACACCTAAAGCTTCCGGTCGTGAGTTGTCTGCCTTCTTGCAAAGCTTTACAGGAGCACAGAGAGCAGCCAGCCCACTGCTGGGAGCAGGCAGGGTTCCCAGGGCTCTGCAGATGGGGAGCAATGCTGGGCCAGGCGTGCATGCAGGTAGGTCCTCAGAGTCTGCTCAGGGTCACTGCAAAACCTGGAAAATTTCAGCTCCCATCTCCTCCAGAGGGAACCCAAGGACAAAGCTGCAATTCCCAAATGAGATGTTGTTCTGTCTCTGCAGTAGGGAAGATCTCTGGGACATGAGGTTCAGATCTGCTCCTTGCACACACTCTGCGGATCTGGGCTTCTCCAGAGCTCTGAGCTCTTTTCTTCCTTTCCTGAAGAAATACCCATGTCTCTGAAAGCTGTCCAGCTTTTCCACCTTCACACATGGAGCCCATCCAAGATGGGACAGTTCCCCACGGAGCTGGCTTCGGCTCCCCACATCCCATAGGAGCTGCAGCACCCTGTCACTGCACCCAACCTTGTGCATGATTGATTGAAGTAAAGCATCACTGCACCCCAGGGAGGAAGCACCATGTAGGAAGCACCAGCAGACTTTTGCTCTCACCCCTGCATTGCTGTGCCCAACAGTGTCTTCTCCACTGCCCCCTCCTGTCACTGTTAATGATGATTTAAAGATCCGTATCCTTAAGAAGCATCTCTGAGCCTCAGAGACAGTTGTAGTCATAAATCTGCTCTGTTTTCTGTGTCCTGCATCTGTCAAATCAGCAAAAGCCATTAAGGAGCTGCACGTTCTGCTGATGCCCCTGAGATATTTGAGGGGTTTTGTATATCTTGCTTTGCAGCCCCCTCGATTCTCAAACAGTGCTGTTTCTCCCCATGAACTGAAGGGCTGAGCTCTTTCCCTTTATTATCTGTATGTGTAATTAAGGGCCAATCGCTGGCACATGAGCCTGCATGGCCAGCTGTGCAGCAGGTGATGGAGCAGCAAAGCAGCCCTCCTTCCTCCAGCCCTTGTGACAAAGGAGGCTCCTTCCCTTGCAAAGAGCAACCACTGCTCTCTGCGGACACTGCAGGTGCATGGTCAGCACCGGGGACCTGCCCCAAACATGTGGGCACCTCAAAACCTCCCTGGTGCTCTATATCCCCTGGCACCAGAGGGGAGGGATTGTCCCTGGAGCAACCAGCACGGGCAGCTCTTGCTCTGTGCCAGTCAGAACTTGGGCATCGGGAGGAGAGGACATAACACATGTTTGGGAGGGGTAAGGGGACAAGGAAGGTGCGGAGATGCCATATTCCCCTTCTCCCAGCAGCTCTGCCAGCCGTTGGCAGGGCCATGCACACACACGTGCTGCTGGCAGGAGGGGGTCAGCATCCGGCGCTGCTGTGCCACGGTTGCATCCTGATGCAGGCATTATCCTTGGTTCCTGGGTGGCACAAGCACAGGGAGAAGACCTGAGTGGGCAGCAGCAGCACCTGGGTCAACACTCGCTCACAGGTGACTTTGAACGAGGCCCTTTCCCGTTTGCTGCAGAGACCTTCCAGCGCTGTCACATTCCTTTACATGAGCTGCACATCCTCATGGGGTGAAATGGTTCTGCAGGAAGAAATAAAGGGGGTTTATCTCTTTCAAGCTCCTGGCTTATGATGAGCTGAGTGTTCTGCTTTCCCTCCCTTGTCTCTCTGTTCCTGGACCTGAAGATGCCTAAAATCAAGTGAAAGGAATCCCACCTGTACCATCATCTGCTTTTCCCATAGCCTCTCTGGCACAGAGAAGCAAAGCAATGATCTTATCTGCAAAATCAGCCTGAAAGCAGATTTTTAACTCCTCTACCCAGATTGGACCCAACCAGCAAACCAAACATGATGGGAATTCTGCTGAAATTAATGGGGTTGGGATCAGGCCTGGAAATTTGGCAGCGTTTTTTGCTTCATTAAATCAACCCCTTTTGGTTACGGATTTGTTGCACAGTCAAGATTTGTTATGTTAAAGAGAACTTCAGAGCTGACAGCCCAGGGAAGCCATTCAGGCAGAATTAACAGGCACATGTACAGATGCAGATGTACAAGCACTTTCCTTCTCTAAACCTGTTTTTCTTGGCATGCAAAATGCTTTACAAGAGGAATGTATTGCTATCCACAGCATCTAAATGTGATTGATTCTTTATTTCATTTTGCACACATTTCTAAAAGGAGACTAAACACGTCGTGTTTCCAGGGTCTCTGTTTCCAGAGGCACCCAGCGAAGCGAGGGACCGAAATGCTCCTGTGTGCAAGTGGTGGGGAGCAGGAGTGAGCAGTGAGTGCCGCAGGAAGCATAGGGATGCCATGAGTTCAGCTGCTGGCTGCAGAGGTACGAGTGGAGTGAGAGGACTTGCCTCCGCAGTGAATGCAGAGTGTGACACATGGCCTCTGGCTGAAATCTGGCTCTGGGTGAGCTGCCCACCTCACTTCAGGTGGGGTGGGGTGGCCAGTAAAGCCCTGTTTGCTAAACAAGCCTGGGTGTGCTGAAAACATGGGCTTCTGCATTTGTGTCAGAGATTTCCATGGAAAATGGGACAGAGGTGGTGCACAGGGACCCCACTGTGCGAGCAGGGCATCTCCATAGCGTGAGAGCCCACAGGCCCAGCAGAGGCATGAAGACCACGTGTGAACCCTGAGGAGAAGCAGCCTGAGCAGAGGCTCCTGCAGGTCCCAGCTCCGTGTTGCACCAGGCAGCAGGACTTTGTGGTGCATCTTTTACAATGTGGTGGGAGGCTGCAGTGAGCACACACAAAGGGATGAGTCACTCGGGTCGCTAATGAGAGGTCACAACATCCTCAGATTCAGTGAGAGCCATGTATTTCTTCCGCAAAACAATTTCATTGCTAAAGTACCTTTGGCTAGAGGGACAGCAGACCTGACACGTTATCTTATTGACCGAGGATATCGATCAGACTGGGGCAGGAATCGTAGATGCAATTACTCCAGGTGACCTGGGAAACACTGGTAAATACACTTGGGACTGTGTGAAGTTGGTAAAGGTTTTAATCAAAGAGAAAAATCCGAGTCTTTGTCTATGCTATGCAGTGTGTTTTGGCATCTGGGAGCCCAACAGCTTGTGAAGAAGAGCAGATCACATAAATAGAATAACATTTAGCGTGACTGTGTGAGGCCATCAGTCTAATATTACTCCTGCAGTGCATGCAGTTATAAATAGGTGATGCTGTGTAGCGTGGGACCCGGGGAGGGCAAGAGCTGAGGAATGCACTTGCAGCCCGGTGGCAGTGGCACTGCGCAGCTTGCAGCCGAAACACACATTTGTATGTGTGCTACAGAGCGACTGCGGCTGCACCCTGCAGACAGGGCTGTCCTGAGGGCCTGCTGAGCCCGGGCTTCACGGAGAGGTGCCACTTTTCAGACCATCCCTCTAAATATCCCCCATCAGCAAAGCCCTCCGTGCCCCTTGCTCATTGCTCAAAGGCAGGGGTCAGCAGGGCAGCAAGAAACCCCCAGGAGATGCTCTGTGCACCTTGACCCGCGCTGCCTTCTTAGCACTGGGGAGGAGAGTCCAGTTTGAATTTCACCCAACACCTCTCTCTGCCCCAAGCAGGAGATGCTCAGGTCAGATCTGGCTCCCTGAAGAGCCCTTCGTGCCAGGGCACAGCCCAGCCAGCGTGAAATTCTTCTGCTTGTTTGGGTTCATGGGCAAGAAGTTTACCCTAAGGAGGATCAGAAAGCTCCCAGGCTTCTCAGTGGCAGCACAGCTCCTCCTTGGGGAGGCTGCTTCCATGCAGAGGATATCCAAGGACAGGAGACAGATTAACTCCATCCTGGCTGCCTTTGCTCTGATGTAGAGGTGCTGCTCAGCAGAGATGGGGAGAACTGCAACCCACAGCTCCCAGTCAGCTCTTACCATCCCAGACCAGCCTGCAGCACCTCCATGCTCTGGTCCAGGCTTTTGAGGGTGAGAAGGTCCCGTGGCAATGGGAAACTGCTGGCATGAAGGAGAGCTCAGGGGTAGGTTTGGTGGTGGTGATTATGCAGAGAGCCAAACACTCTCACGGAATGAAGCTTTATGTGGTTGTGGAGGCCTCCTCCATACTCCTGCATAAAGGGGACCACTCACATGCATTTCCCAAGCCAGAAACCCAAAACAGCCTGAGTCTGTCACCTGGCCCTGTGTGGACATGCCCTGGGGGGATACCCAAATGAGCATCATCTTGTGCCACTGCTCAGTGTGGGGAGTGAAGGTGATAAGATTTGCAAGATAAAGAGTTTGGGAATGAGCTCTGAGGCCTTGGTGGTGGGCCTGAAACAGAATGGTTTACTGGCCTTTCACTTCTGCACTAAGTTTCATTGTCTTTTCAATTATTCTGATATCAGATGGTTTATTCCACTTAGGTACAAATTCCCTTCTTGTATTTGAAGTAGCATTAGAATTCTGATTAGCAGCTGCATTATTATTCTGTCTCGAGTTGTCCTGCTCTGCTGGCTGAGGCTGGACCACCAATTCCCCTTAATGAGGCATGAGTGTCCATTAAAGGCCAATGATCAGGCCATTGTGATGCAGAGATGACTGTAACATCTGCTCCACTATCAACAATTCCCTGCAAAGCAACGTTTGTCTCCCGTGATTTTAAAGTACAGGACAACTGGGGTCTGTCCAAAGTTAATTGTTGAGTCCAATAAATTTCAGGTATCCCTGTAGAGTTAAAACATTCTGAGCCCTGCACAGTGCGGACAGCATCTGGTAACTGGGGTGAAAAGCATATTAATTGTGTGATTCGGCTTCCTGCTGGTGTAGTACATGGTGGCAATGGAGTCCACGCCATTAGTTTAATTTCTCCTTCAAAGTCAGCATCTATGACCCCTTATCGCTGTAGAGGATCGTCCAATTAACAATGCTGCCTTTCCACGCCCCAGTGGGCCGTACGTGCCTGTTGGAATAAACACAACTGATGTGTCTTGAGTTATTGTCTCTCCCGAGGTGGCCAGCTCCACTCCAGCACCACTGCTTGTGCTGGCATGCAAACTGCGGCAGCTCC